CTTTCGAATATATATTTCCAAATAAGATTTAGAAAGCTTTGAAAAAAAAAAAAAAAATACGTGCATTAAAATTTTGAACAAATTTTGCTCAAATGACTCATATTGAAATTTTTACAATTTTTTAATAATATATTTATACAAAAAAAAAACAGTTTATACGAGAAATTAATAATAGAAAAGAAAAATAATTCTTTCACATAATAATAGCCATGTAAAATAACAGGTGTTTGTTTCGATAATAATTCCGTTAAAGAAAAAAAAAAAAAAATTATATGGTATTGTTACAACATATAATATTATTATTTAGGGATTAACGTGATGATTTTTTTATTTATGAACCGTCCATTTTGATAACGTTAAGATAGAATAAAATAATATATAATAAAAATTGTTTGGAGCATAATAACGAGAAAACGGTTTACCTCGTACAAAGCGTATAAGGAAGCTAGAGAATCCAGGAAGTAATGACTAATACAGTTACAGTAAAGTTAATCAAACCTACCGTTAAAGGAATGTAACTTGGCGATTCCATGACATTCTACGCGTTACAATGGTAATGATATCGATATTTATTTCGTTAAAGGATTCGAAATATTACTCTTATTTTATTTACAAGCGTTTACAACATTTATGTAAAGCATTTGGTGTTCGATGATTTTCCAAAAAAAAAAAAAAAAATATAGACAAGAAGAAATATAGAAAAAAAAATCGAAAAACAACATCGAAAAAGGAAAATGAGACGGAAAAAAAAAAAAAGAAAGAAAAAAATAAATTGCAATGTAAAAAAAATTATGGTATAATATTAAAATGGAAAGCATAAAATTTTTATTTATATTAGCGTATTTTATACGAGCGATAACAATAATCGTTAACAACAATATACGATCGCGGCAAAATTGTGTTCGAAACGAACATAGTAATGAAATAAAACAGGCAGAACTGTATTCTCCGTTGGTCGCGCTTCGATGATCCCGAAAAAATGCATTCTTTTGGAATGTCCAAGTTCCACATTTAACGAATGTACGTACATAATATCGAAAGAGGAACAATGTGTATATGTAATTGATTAAATTATTCCACTAGGAATCTTGGAAATTTTTTGCACTTATCCAATAATAAATTCGATATTTATTTATATCGAAACAATTGTATCCGCGAAAAATTCGCGATACGAATTATTACATTAACTGATAAAACATTCGATTCTGATAAATGTTATATCTTCTCTTTCCAATAAAAAGAATTGCAATCGATCGATAAGATTTCCACGATTGAAATAAATTTGATTTTCATTCTCCTTTTACGTTATTTCACAAGGAGGGGGAGGAAGAGCAATTGCGCAAATTTTATTCAACGTTTTACACGTTTGAATTGCAACTATCGGAAATATTATAGTAGTCGTTCCTCCGACGAGGTAAAATTTCTTGGACGTGAAATAAAACGATGCACTTGTTACGGAATCTAGTCGAGTCTTTTTACGCTGACGATAAGAAGAAAGAAAAATGATTAAGACTAGCATCGTCCACCAGGTATAACGACGAATGTGGAACCTCTGTTCTGCGCAGTGGTTGGTATGTGTATAGAATACGTGTGTCGTTTGAGGCACGCACCTGAGCGTGAAGCGAGGGATCAACGTTAATGCACCGACGTGGCTTCCACCTGCGTTAGACGAGTCGAAATATGTATGTTTTTTCTTCACTCGGAAATCCTAGTAGCTAGATACCTCCAAATGTGTTTCAATTTTATGCTTGACGGCACGATTTCTAAACGTGAATTTTTAGAAAAAAATTACGATCTCGTAACATTCGAAATATGCATATTTTAGTTTTCGAACAGACCACTTTAATTTCAAGAATTAGATTAGATTAGTTAGCATTGATCGAGAGCGAAAAAAAGCGTCGAAATTGATACTTACGTCTCGTATATCTATTAAACGTTGTTCGAAGTTGGTTAAAACTTTTAAAAGCTTTCGCGAATGAAATTATGCGTACAAAAGAATTATGTTACAAAAAGGAAAATTATCTAGAATATTTAGAATAATTAATTAACAAACGTTAAATAAAAAAATGTATTTATCCTCGTAAGGGAATTAGTAAAAGGGAAGTCGTTGAACAACGCAAGATATCACAATGAGATTGCAAGACGATCGATATTCCTACTGGTCTGTTTTACGAATTTAATACGGATACTTAAATGAAAATATGAACTTTTTCATTATTTTTTTTGTACACGAATGATTGCGCGTATCCATAACATTGTTATTCTTAAACTAATGGTTTGATTCGAATGAAAGAAAAATTGCATCTTTGTGTATTTTTTTTTTTAAATTACTTTAGCACTTTAGTCGTATGTCCAGTATAAGGCTAGCTGGTCATTGCACCAACATTATCGATCAGACTTTCGTAATTCTGTAATTCATTCCTTTGCCTTTGAAATATTAACATTAACAATATTTGGATATTTGAAATCAAAATAGTAACAAAAAGCTAAAAATTGCGAAGCAATTCGAATATTGTTCGATGTCGGAGATGTCGCGGAGATTTCAACACACCGAGCAAGATCGAGCGATCGTTATTTTACATAATACATTTGTTTGTATTTAATAACAATTATAAAATATAAAATAACACGTATATCATAAATATTTTCTTTATGGGAAAGATATACAATTAGGAGAAATTGAAGAAAAATTAAGAATACTAAATAAAAAATATAGAAAAAAAATAAACAAATACAAAATTCTGGCAAAAAGATTAAAAAAATATATAGAATTTTCATGAAGTAAAGCAAAATTATTTTAGTCTACCTTAGTACACACGAAGAAATAACAGTACTTCAGGTAGACGATCAGGTGTGCGGAACGGTTTGGCAGGGCGGTCTCCCCACCTGTCATAAATTCAACGCTACTGAGTTCATCGTTTGCGTTGATCCACGTATAAATTTGAACAACAATGTAATATAGATTACCCGCCACAAGAAAGATAAAAACTCAATATCGATAAAAATATATTATTTGCTAATGGATAGTTGAATAATAATTTTTTAATTATATTTAATTTGATGAAACTAAAAGAATTGACGTTCGTGTCTTGGATCGTAGTTTGTAAAGCGACCGTAGGGATTGTAGCGGTAGGCAAAGAGAAACACGGAGTAAGAACGACGCACGAATGGCGAACATGCCCGGGGCCTTACTCACCTGCCACGACGTATCGCGCCCGCATTGTCGTTGACCGGTCTAAAGATCTGCAATCGAATTCGAGGACACCCGCACTTACGGCGTCTCTTGTTGCACATTCACTCACGAGACATTCTCGGTCACCGCACTCGTCTCTGTCCTTTTTATTTTATATTGAATTAGGAAAACTGCACGCTTATGCTTTTCATGCACTATAGAGCGATTCTGTTCGCTTCGCTCCTTCACGTAATACATCCACCCGCAACAACTATGACTGCCGAGAAACACACACCGAGCGAGACTGCGGCTCTTCTGGAGAACGGTCGGTTGCTATTGTGAAATCTCCCTCCACCGACTCTAAGCACCTTTACTTCAGCACTAGCACGCTACGGCCCTGTGTCGTTACTAACACCGTCTGGATCGCTTCTATATCTATCTTTCTCTTGATCCTACTGCCAGGTGCGGATCAACAGATCGCGTTTTAAGCAATTTGAATTTTTATCAATTAAATTTCAATATTTCTATAATGAAATTTTTCATGTTAAACGTTTTAACTATTGAAATTAACATGCATGAATACATTTATAAATAATACTTACAAATAAAAATTATTAATTTATATTTTCATTATTTTTAAATAGTTTCAAGTTTTTTTAGGTTACTTATAAACTGGATTGTGTTGTGTGTGCATTATTAAAATATTAATTAATTATTATTAAAATACAAAAATAAAATAAAACAAGAATTATATAATATATATTTTAATTATATAAAATCTTTTACTAAAAAAATATTTATAGTGATGTAATTATTTATTTTAAAATAATATTAAATTCAAATATTAATTTATACAAAGTAAAACGTATATGGTATAATGTTAGTTGATAATCGTACGCGATATATAAATATGTAAAAATGTAATTAATGATTAAATTGAAAATCAAATTATTATAAATGAAAAGAATTAGGTGAAAAAAAAAAACTCCTCTGCCGTGACAATGTCATTTTGTCAGACATTGCCGTGACCAGGATTCGAACCTGGGTTACTACGGCCACAACGTAGGGTCCTAACCACTAGACGATCACGGCTATCAGAGGACTTAAAGAATGTATCTTTTTATATATTTTTCTATATCATATAGTATAATAATATTAAATTTTTTTATATATTTTACATAATAATTTATTTAATATACTTATTAAATCATTATGTATAATTTTATAATATTATTAAGCATAATAAATAAATAATGATAAAAAGAAAATCTCTTTTAAAGATTATGTTGCCCTCTATCCATACTTATGTTATATTTTACGAACTAACTTAAATTTTTATCTTTCTATGGTATATCATACTATATAATATATCATATTGGATATATTTAAGAAAACTATTGTAAAAAAAAAATTTTATATGTTTATTTATTTATTATATATTTATACATTTATATATTTATTATTTATTTGTAAGTTTTAGTAAATTATTATGTAATTTATTATATTAATTTCAATAATTAAATTTTTTCGTTACAGAAATTGATAATTTTGTTCAAATATTACATTTTAAAGATATATTAATAATACAATTTATAACGTATTTCATTAATATTATTATTTGTTAAAGATATAATATATGTAACACATATATCCTATATATTTTTTCCTCTTTTCGGAACAAAGTTAATTACGGATAACATACAATCTATTCTAATTGTAAGTTAATGAGAAAAAGTTATTCAATTATTCATTTTTATATTACACCCTTTTAATTTCTTTACACTTCCGGTTCCGATCTTCCGGTTTCTCTTTGACAAACCACTTTATTTATAGAGTTTGGCAGGTTAAACTATTCTGCGCGCAGAAAACAAAATTAGTTGCGATAGAAACGGAAAGTATTAAAATTGTATGGGATTTACATATAACAGAAAAAAAAATTATATTAATGTAATATTAGAAAGCGAGATTTCTCGCTTTTATTATCTAATATTCGCGTCATGGTTGCTATGAAAATGTCAGTTCAGTGGTGATTCATTCGTTCATTACTTGGCTTTTCTTCTGTTTTTTAATAGGACATTCTGCTCATTGGGCAGGTAAGTGTATATAAGATTTTTGTTAATTAGTAAATTTGAAGTATTAACAAATGACTTTCTGGACTTGTATTTATTCATGTGTTGTACTTGTGTATATAATGATGTAGTTAAAAGAAAGGTTAAGTAGGTTAGAAAGAAAAATAAATATTCTTATTATCAGTCATGTTAGATGAATTTTTAAACGTATAATGAGAACTATAGAAATTTTAAAATATTTTAAATTATATAGGTTTACAATTGATTCTTACATATTTTTATTTAGCTTTTATTGTTATAACGTTTATGATAATAAAATAATAGAAAATATTTGTATTTATAACTTTATTGAAAAATTGTCCATATATGTTATTAATAATTAATGAATAACAACGAATATTTTTGTTTGTACGTATTTTTTTAAATTTGATTTTACAAATAATGTATAAAAATTTAAATTTTATTTGAAATATAATAATTTTGTATTACATAATATAATTTTTTAATATTCACTTTTATATGTATTATATTAATGTGTCTGTATGTATGTGTGCATATATAACATTATATTTACATTATAAATTTTATATTCAGGATGATGGAAGAACCATTGAGTCAAGGTGCTTCACCATCTGGTGATAGCAATTTTTCCGGAAGTGGAGAATTAAGTTCCACTACTATAATGAGCATAGATGAAAGAATGTTGGATGTTAGTTCGCGACATTCTTTAAATGTTCTTAGAACTCCGCCAACCAAGAAAGCAAAAAGAGTAAGATTTTTTAGAAATGGAGATAAGTTTTATACTGGTATTGTGATGGCTGTGACGCCAGAAAGATATCGCAGTTTTGATAGTTTAGCTACAGATTTAACAAGAGCTTTAATATCAAGTGTCACTTTACCTAATGGTGTTAGAGCAATATATACCATGGATGGGAAAAAAGTTCAAAGTATTAATGATTTAGAAGATGGTAAATGTTACGTAGTTTCTGGACAAGGAGAAATTTTTAAAAAAGTGGAATATTCATCTACTAAAGTAAGAAGGGGCAGTTCTTTATCTGGACTACCACAATCTCCAGCAGGTACTGGTAGACAAATAAGTGCAATACCGTTATGTGTAAAAGCAAAAATAATCACATTAATTCGACATGGTACAAAGCCACGTAAAGTTGTACGTCTTTTGTTAAATAAAAGAAATGCTCCAAGCTTAGAACATGCGTTGGAAGCAATTACAGAAGCTGTTAAATTAGATACTGGAGCAGTAAGAAAAGTTTATACTCTTTCGGGACAACAAGTTACCTCTTTGGAACAATTTTTTGAAAATGATGACATCTTTGTGGCTTATGGTCCTGAAAAATCGAATCAAGAAGATTTTGAATTAGATTTTGAAGAATCTAAAAGTGTTCAAAGCTTTCGAAGATGTCCATGGACATCGAAAAGACAGAGTGGTCCAATGCCAAGAATGCCACGTAAATCTGGTAAAAAAGTGCTTACTACACCACAAGTGCGGACACCTAGTCCTTCTTCACTGATATTACCACAGCCGTTACGTTTACATTATGCAGTAGGACATGTAATTGGAGAAGGAAACTTTGCTGTTGTTAGGCATTGTTCTCATAAGTAAGTATCATAAGATAATTATATATAATACTAATAATTAAAAATAATATTCTAAATTTCATAAAAAAATAATTTGTAGGTCTACAGGTGTAGAATATGCAATGAAAATTGTAGATAAATATAAATGTCAAGGTAAAGAAACAATGTGGGCAAGTGAGGTATCAATTTTACGACAAGTTTGTCATCCAAATATTATTAATTTGATCGCAGAACAAGAGACTACCGATCAATTGTTTTTAGTCATGGAACTTGTAAAAGTACATTTACTTATATACACATATATATATTATAAATCATAAAAATTAAAATTAATGATAGAATAATTTATATTTATTGTTATTTTAGGGTGGTGATTTGTTTGATGCTATTGCTGCAGCAACAAAATTTTCGGAAAGTGAAGCTAGTGTAATGATTGGACATTTAACATCTGCATTAGCTTATTTACATTCACATCATATTGTACATCGTGATGTTAAACCTGAAAATCTTTTAGTTGAAATGGATGGAAATCATGTTAGATGTTTAAAGTTATGCGATTTTGGACTTGCCCAAGTTGTAAGAGAACCTTTGTACACAGTTTGTGGTACACCTACATATGTAGCACCAGAAATTCTTGCAGAAACAGGATATGGTTTAAAAGTACATTATTTTTCTTAATCAAAAAGAAAAATATCTTTAAAACAATCGAAAAGAAAAATATCTTTAAAAAGATACGAAAGATAAAATGAATTTATATTGTTTCAGATTGATGTATGGGCAGCTGGTGTGATATTATATATCTTACTTTGTGGTTTTCCACCATTTGCTTCTCCTGAAAATAAGCAAGAAGAATTATTTGAACGTATTTTGAGTGGTCAATATGATTTTAGATCTCCATTTTGGGATGATATTTCAGATTCTGCTAAACAATTAATTTCAAACATGTTACAAACGCAACCTGAATTGAGATTTGGTGCCGAAGATGTACTTGATCATCCATGGCTAGCGGTAACTGTCATTATACGTTAATTTTAGTTGATAGAAAACCTATTTTATTAATTTGCATGGCTTGCTCTTTTATTTCATTTTATTTGTTATAATTTTTTTTTAAATTGAAAGTAATATAAGAAAATTGTTCTAGTGTAGTAACGATGAAGTCTTCTTTTGATTGAATAATATTGAATTTTAATTATTCATAATTTTCTACCAATTTGTTTATAATGTAAATTCATTGTCATACAAGATGTATAATATGTTCAACTATTACATGACATATTTTTTGCTATTTAAAAATTAAATGCTAAGAAGGCTTCTGTAGTAGTTTGCTGTATCTGTAGCAGAGCTTTTGTTTTTCTTTTGTCCCGCCTCTGTATATCAGCAGAGCTTTCTAGGCGAGCAGACCACAGCATCAACACCTACCAACCCGCCGGAGCAACACTGGTATCAGCGTGAGCCGATAAAATTGGCAATTTTTGAATTTGACTTCTACAAAAATCCAATTCGAGGTGATAGTTCTCAAGATGAAGTTGATGATGCTTCTGATAACAAAACAGATATTAGAAACAACCGAAGTGAAGTTTTATCGTCAATAGAATCAAAAAGCATTGATTTATTTTATGACAAAGTTCAGAAAAATTAAGTTATAATGAAATTGACTTTAATAACAAAAATTTTAATGATGAAACATTTGTGTCCCTTAGTGCAGATTGTTTATAATTTCAGTCGAATAATGAACAATCTTATAAACAATTAATATAAAAACCACGTTTATCGTTGTTTAAAAACCATCGCATAGTGAAACTTGTTTGAACAGTATTCATAAAAATGTTAATTGTCGGTGCAAATAGATAATTTAACATTACTAGAGAGAGAGAGAGAGAGAGAAAGATAGATATCAAAATATTCCTACAATTTAAATTATGAGTTGTAAAGACAATTCAGTTCGAGTGTTTTTTCAATATAAAATAAAGAATTTTGTTTGCAAGAATTAATAATATTTCGCGTATTATGTTAAATAAATACAATACAGACACCGATATATTTTTAAAAACTTAATTTTTTTTACCAAATATTGTTTCAAAATTTATTATTTAAAAAGAACGATGCAATTATTTATTGATAGTAATTAGCAATTGCAATAAGAACAATGAAATATTAGATAGATTTCGCCATACACAATTAATATAAGAACAAACGTCAAATTTTACGCGAAATATAAAAATATAAATGACGACTTTAAAAATATTAATTTTTACCACGATGAGGAACCAAAAAAAAAAAAGAAAAAAATAGTAATGTATGTGATTCATATAAAAATGGTTGTGTAAATGAGGTTTTATAGTTAAATTATACAGAAAATTCTTTTTATATAATTATGAAAAGTCAGCAATAGAAATATTAGAATCTATCTACAACGTTAAAAGTAAATACATCAGAAATTTTTAAATCACATATAGTGATGTATTACTTTTAATAGTAAACATATATAAAGCAAAGATTTAATTGTTTTTCATTTTAATTTATAGAAAATAATTTGAATAATAATAATAATAATAATAATGAGAAAATGATTTTTGTTTAAACAAAAATCATAACAGTTTGTAAAAAATTTAACTCTACATATGAATTGTACAATGAAAAACAGACAGAAAGATTCAGCTTATAATATATTTTACAATTCTTAAAAAAAGATCACAGAAATATATATATGATAGTTAAGAAAAATAAATGGAAAAAAGATCGGTAAGATGATCGGATGAGATATAAATAGATAAAAAAAAAGAAAATAGTGTTACAGCCTAGAACATGATTATAAAAAAAAACTCGAAGCTCAGTTGTAGATAGTACAACAGCTGCCAGTAGAAGCAAATTGAACAAGCAGTGTGTTCACGTCGAATCTAACATTTTTAAATCCAATTTTAATGGCCGATGGAAAAATGATGATTAGATATATTTATACATTACACATGAATCGATGCGGGACTAATCCGCTAAAGAGTCCAAAGTTCTAAATAATAATTATTTTAATGTAAGTGCAAAGTCTATTTAACCATGGATGTGACGTCATTTGTTCTTAAATATTGAAGACATTGATATCAATAAGATCAATAATTCAGATTAGAACAGGTGAGCTTCACACGTGAACAAGACATGCCAAATGCATTTAAGTAGTTTATTTTATATTTGATATCTATTATTGTACGTAGATCAAGTATTGAATTAAACTAAATGTAGAAATTGCTTTGTTCTTATCGAGGCATAAGTAATTAGATGAATATAATTGTAGAACGAGGTGAGAACTGTATTATTAACGCAAAAATCCTTGTGACAAGTGACAGAGGGCGACAGAGTGGATAATTATAAATATTTGTGTAGCTTGTTACATATGCTTGCTCAAAAGTAATTCAACTGTTGCTAGAATGAATATTTTTATAAAAGTACTGTGCGTGGTATTACATTAAGAGCAATAAAAGTAAAAGTGGTGATAATTAGTGATGATGAAAAAAAAAATCTTAGAAAATATCATATCGGATATGAGTATAAACAGAGAATTGATTCAAAACATAATAATGCTTTTCAAATTATTTTTATAGAAATTATGGTTTGTAGAAATTTTGCGTGTATCTTTCTCCCTTTGTCGCTTGAAAATACTTTTATGGTTACCCCACTACAATTTCCATATTTTTTAATGCAATTATTACTATATTTACTATAAGGATGTACATATATAATAAGTAAGAAGTTTATAAAATATTATTTAAATATTACTATTATTATTTGTTCTTGTAATTTGTAAGTTACGCATAAAAAATTAATTTATCACAAGATTTCGTACTAGGATTGATTCGTATGTAGACGATAATAATTGTAATTTTTTGTAAGCACAATTAATTCGTAAATGTATACGCGATATTGCATAAGTCAGTGTTATCCATAAGTTAAGAATTTTTTCATAAGTGATTTTTTTATCCTATCCACATCATTCTTATAATAAGACAATAGACAATAGATTTGATATGATATCATTTTTAATTTTTTTCTATGAACTTCATTTTTAAAATAAACTATGATACTTAAGCTTTCCCAGAAAATATTTGTACATTTGCGCGTGTGTTAGTGCGCATCGGTTAATATCGTTGCAGTAACCAATGAAGTTCTGTATAAAATTCTAAGCTTAGTTTGGATACCACTGACTGTAGATTATAGAAATTTAAAAGTGATTTATGCCAAATATATGAAATTCATTATTTATATTATTATATACATGTATATGTATTTACACAAACACATACGATAAATTTGGTACCTTTGTTATTTCCTTTGCTTCTTCTTTCATTTTTTTTTTCAATACATACGCGTATACTTTCGATCCGACGGTTGAAATTGTACTTTTTTTATTTCTGGTAAAATATGAATTAAAAAAATAAGTATGATAAAAATCATTACAAAATTTTGATTCATAATTACCCTGAAAACCATTTCTTTCGATATATTTATAACTTTTGAAATTGTTGAAGAATCGTTTGTTGAAAATTTTAATATTTTATTTTAATAAAACTTTTTAAATCAAAAATATTTTTATATTATTTTTTTATCCATTTTAGAGATCGATTTTATATATTACGTAGAGACTGAGTATTTCTTTAGTAAAAATTAATATGTAGTTGAATTAATATTTTACCGCTTAATTTTAAAATAGTAAATATGGCTAAGGATCAATCGAATACGTTAAAGGCACAATTTATGCAGTAGTTGCTTGAAAATCGTATTAATTATTTTCTTATCTTATGGAAAAATATTTTTATTGTCAAATTTTTAATTATCATTAATTTGGATTCGTTTCATTGTAATTTAACACTTACAATGATTTATTAAATTAAAGATTTATTAAAATAAGAAATTAATCAATTATTTCGAAATTAATTCGTCGACGATGATCGTGGGCTATATCCGATGTTCGTGAGAGACGAGTGATTCCGAGCGAATGTGCCGGTTCGCGAGGCTGGCAATCAGTCTAGTAAGTTCAGTAGTAGGCTCGCGCGCCTGCTGTAAGGGTGGCTGCTTGGCACGCAGCCTGCAGCTCGCCTTTTTCGTGCTTCTCTCGCTGTCCCATCGCTATCCTTTTTTTCTTTTGTATTTAACATAAGCCGTCCTTCGCATTGCCATTATGTTTTTTAACGGGGGAAAAAAATTTCTATTAAATTGTAAACTAAACATATCGTAACAGGTGCGTGGGTGCGTATAAGTGTGTACGAAGAAATTAATACATATCAGTAATAGTTGACAATATAAGATTCGCAATACAGAGATTAGTGCAAACTAGCATAAATGCTGCTCTAATCAGGTGAGACTTGTAAATTGCATAACTTTAATGTTTTGAATAAAATTGTAGATAATTTTTTCAAAAATTTCATTAGTTAGCTCTAGACAAAATTTTCGCTTTATATGTATCGCAATAATGGACATAAAAATGCGTACATATATCAAAAGATTAATAATAATAATAATAATAATAATTGTTGACATAAACATATAATGATATTACAAATTTTTATATTCGTATAAAGTTTATCATAAACTTGTAAATATTTGTCAATTTGCATTTTTTTATTCATTATTTAAATTTAATTTTATTATAAAATTAAATAGCTTGTTGTAATTTAAATTTCGATATATGTTTAATTCGTATTTTTATTCTATTGTTTTGAATGAAAAATCGCTTCAATATAAAGTCAATGGTAAATGTATGGTAAAAATATTGTTACGCTTCGATTAGCATGCAATATCGATTAATGTTAATGATCACGTATAAATTAAAGGGATATATTTTTGATGGTAAATAATTACTTATGTGTACGAATATACTTAATGTGTACGAATAAGTTATTTATATAATTTATTATTATTTATTATTATATATATATTTTATATTAGTTCGTAGCATTAAATTTATATTTATATATTTATTACAATATTATTGTATTTTAATTTTATTTTCGGATATATTGCAAGTTTATAAATATATTGAAAGTAAATTATTTACTATAACTTACAATATAAACTTTTTTCATTCTATAAATAAATAAAATAAAAATGATTAATTAAGAAAGAGTTAATAAATAATCATTTTTATTTCTGAATATTTTATTCTGAATATTTCCATAAATGGAAAGTGAATATATGTTTTGTCTTCATCGTCTTCCGAAGGCGATTGATCTTACCAAATTTGGCGAATTCTCAGTATGATGTACAATCTTTTTCATGTCAACGACGCCTTCGTAAGATGATTGCAATATACATATGCAATCATCTTGCAAAGGTATATACAGATTTAATACAATGTGTTATTTTATGCAAGAGATTTAATGCGAAATATTTTTCTTGCATTTTCTCTTTTTTTTAAATATCTCGTTAAATTTTTTTTTCACATGAATATCTCTCCAAAATTGTATGATTCATATAAGTTTTTTTTAACAAAGGAAGGACAAAATAAGTTTGCTCTTTATAACGAAAGATTGAAAATTAAAAAAAAATGTTTAGATCAAATTCGATTTAAACGAATCTAATATGTTTGATTTGCAGGTCACGTTTGCTTTTGCACGTTCATCGAACGTAAACACGACGTTGACTTGGCCTTGTTCCTGCTGCTCTCATTTCAAGTATAAGAAACGTGTAAACAATGCGAATACACTGCATTTTCCGAATGATGGTTGAAAAATAATTTTCATTCAATCAAGATCTTTTTAATTATTGTTTCGAGAACTTTATTTGTATTTAAAAAGAAGTGCATTTGCAAAGCACATTTGCTAAATTTTAAAAGAAATGAGAGACCTCAAAAATATTGATTTTTTTTTATCGTATTGTCATCGTAATGCATCAATAAAATTATCTCAATAGCGTTTGAAATGAAATGATTATAGATTCGATATAGAGTAATATATGATTCAAATATGATTTCGCATAGTTGAAGAACACGGTATAATCTTTCAATTCGATACAAGTTGCGGACACTTAACACATCAACGTTAATTTGTTCGGTCGACTGTTAGTTAGGTTTGGTTAGCGTGTTTGCCGTGCGTATTTAACGTACACGCACGTTAAACACATTGAAAGTGATGAATATAGCTTTGCTTCCTCGTTTCTCGCATGCATTGTAAGCAAGTACTTCGTCTCGTGTGTTTCTATGATCTCTCATCTTATCAACTGAGACAAGAATCTGTTAGCATAGCAAAATATTTTTTCCATCAATTGTTATTCTTTTTTCGATAACGAGACATCATTTTCGTCGTTTAACGAAATTTACGAAATAATACAAATTTCACAAGAAACAATTTGTAACTCTGCATATACAATAAATGCCACGTAATCGGAAAATTTTTCGAATTTTTGAAACGAATTTTGAATTTTTCATTATATCGTGTATCTTTAAAACCGATAAAAGAAAATAATAATTTTATACGAATTTGAAAAAAATATCAAAAGTTATTGCAACTATAACCATAGTTCGATAAAATAACGTATAGTAAAATTGTTTCATTGTTTCGAGGAGAATTTATATACGGAGAACGTATGTAATCATAAAATACTACATGATACGGTAACGGTAGTTTATGGGATTCGCTATGTAGATGGGTAAAGGTTGTGATGATTTATCTGGTTTGCGATCTTTCCTATCCTCAACCCTGTGCCCGTAATCATTGTTTCGGGCCATATTGTTGGCTATCTTCTCAATATCCGTAAAAAATTGTGATACTTAAACGGCATAATGGAGAGTGCACGGAAACTGTCGTGCCGACGATCCATAGTGGCGATAGCGAGAGAACATGGCCAATAACATCGTTAGACCGGTCAAGCTGGTAAAATGTCGTTGAATCATACTCGACAACGTGCAGATTCAACTCTTGCATTTTTCATTTAAGAAATTTTTTTTAAAACTTTTTTTAATTATTTAATTTTCCTTTTAAAATAATTCATCAGAGAAAGTGAAAAATAGTCTTATTTTTAAGGTTAATAACAGATGTCGCGACTATCGCGTGGCAGCATTATACATTATACATATTATACGGATCGGATTATACATCGGATCAGTTGTTAATAATCTCCCTCGAGAATTCACGAGGAACTTTCGGTCGATTCTCGTTATCAAATCTTTCCCCCCGCGCGATTTATCTTTGATAAATCACTTTCTTTCGCTTTTTCAGAGTGTTGCGTTCCACGTTACACGCATTTAAGAGTCAGAATCGACGACAATGGTATATATAATGAAGCGCATAAACAATGGGTAAAACTTCTCTTTCCTTCTCGTTCCCTGTTTGTCGTTGGCAATGCACAATGGAGATACAAAGGCTGTTCGGCCGACAACGGCACTTTATGGGGCTCATAAAGCGATAAAGACATCCGTACAAATGTACACGCTTCGTGTAACACACCATGCACTTCCGCGCTATCTCACCTGAGAAATGTTCTCGTAAGAAAAGTGTGTGCATCGCTGTTTTTAGTCTGCTCGGGGCAAATGGAATAGAAGTGTAATAGGATATACGCGTAAAGAGATGAAACGGGAGTATTACCCCTAGTATTTTTTTTACGCTCAATTATGAAAAGTATATTACTATATTTAATTTTTCTACGTTATTACGACAATTGAAATTTAATATATATATTTTTTGCTGTATTAACGAAAATACGATCGAAATTGTGGAAAAAAGTTAAGATTCGGAAAGAAGGATAGAGAATCAAATTCAAAGCAGATATTAAAAGGAATTTTTCGGGTACAAGAGGTCAACGAGTTTGCCTCGCTTGACCTTGCCGTTAAATCATACATGAAGAGATTCCTTCGTTGGTGGTCCTCGTATCGTCCACGCTTATTAATGGCCCAGTCCTTCAAGAACAATCTTGCAAAGTTATCGCGATTATTTATACATATTTACTAAATTCAACGTTCATATTCATCTGTATAAATTATATTACAGCGGCTATATAAATCAGCCGAGAAATTGATTTCGCTAAAAGATTAAATAGAGAAGATATTATATCTATATTTATAAATCTTTGTCGGATTTTCGTTTATTTCGAATCAAGATCAAGGTATTTGATGGACAACGATTATGCAACCGGTGTTTCGTGTTTTGCATTTTCGAATTATCTAAACGAAGCGTAACAGGGTTTCTGGGATTATAGTACGAGACGTTGCGTGTGTCGTGGCATAATCGAACACCGTTGAGAATACAAAGGCTGGTCAAGATAAAGATAGAGTGTAATTTACTCGCTTCCACTCACGCTTAATCGTAGCTGCGCCACTACTTACCGACTATTTATTCAAGATCGATGATGTCATCACTTTTTTTTCATTTTATCTTCCGTACAGAAAGCACAAATTTATATATATATATATATATGTATATATAATATTTATATATATTATTTATATATACAATTTATATATATATATTTATATGTATAATATACATTTTTATAATTAATTTTTATAATTAATACGTTTGTGCAATCGTTCCAGATACAGAGTTCTTCCTTACCAATCGAACGCGATAAAAAAATTCCGTTAGAAGCTGTCGTTTCGAATCTCTATGAAGCAGAATTATTCGTTGAATTTATTAGGAAATCTCCCTGCTACTTCCAAACTGTCTTGCAAGTGTCAAATCGAATTTTCTCGATTACATTCGGCTTGTGAATCATCATTTCCCAACCGGTGGACGTAAAAGTCTCTGTTTCCGTCTTTCCCCTTATTTTCTACCAATCTGGACGGTTAAATAAACTCTCTCTCTCTCTCTTTCTCTTTCTCTCTCTCTCTCTCTCTCTCTCTCTCTCTCTCTCTCGAGGAGAACTTTGTAAGATTTGTCGAGAAAGAAGGGAAAGGAGAAGAGGAAGAAATGGAACAGGGCGCGTAGGTAGGATAAATGGCCTGCTCTTCTGAACTTTTCCGATAGAGATATTAATCTTTCTCGGGGAAGCTTCTCTCCTCCGTTATACCGTTGCTCCTCCCGTCTTTCACCGCTGACCAATATTCCCTACCATCTTCGTTTATATCCGTATTATATCCATCTTTCTCCTTCGAATATATTCTCTTCCCTGTCTCTTTCTACTTTTCGCGCGCACGTACAACGCTATGAAAAATAGAGAATAACCATATGTCCACGTCAGAAGGGAAGGAATACAAGGCACGACAGATGGATCGGGCGACCTCGTCGATCCTTAAAAATCGATCCTTCAAAGATCGTGCGAACAATTCATATTTTTTTTTTTTTTTTAATCTCGTACCCGTTTCTTCTTCGTTAAAATACTACTAATATCGAGACGATAATAAAACATTTTCCAAACGTAATACACTGCGTGTACACATCCGGATACGTATCCGGTAGATGATTACAGCGGTGGTGTTGGCATGGGTGGTGTTGCGTTGCTCGTGACGTAACGGTGTCGTTAAAGGCAGGTGTGAGAGGAGGTCCTTGCTTTCTACCCATGGAAACAAATACCACCGTGTTAATATATATATATATATATATACATGTACATATACGCACGAATACGTAAGCCAAGTGGTGAGTAGAATGCATGTGCGCACACTCATGCGCGAAAACGCATAAATACAGAGGAGAAACACGTTCACCTACACTATGAACGAGCGGGCGACCGAGTGGGAACAATATAGTGTTCCATGGGGATGCATGGTGTGGCACACCAGAGCGTAGAATCGCCGCGAGTGGGGACAGATCGATAGCAAAAGGGGCCTACCAGACCTTATGGTGCCTCCTCCACCTCCTTCTCTTCCTGTCCCTCCTCTACCTTCTTCCACGTTCTATGAAATTAACGCGCGTTTGTATCCTAGTTCCCGCGTCGACAAAACTTTTTTCCCTCGAAAATATTCGTACATAAACTTGTATATGAATATTTTAATCGATGTTTAATTCCGTTTGGATGGCGATCATGGCCTCTCTTTTACAGTTAATTTTTGCAAATTTTATTCTTCTGTATTATTATATATACGTATATTGGCACTGGTTCGGTAAATGATAATCGTAAGTTTAGAAAAGAAGCGCGGTAAAGAGAGGTAAGGGGTGGGTGTGGAGAAGGTTAGAAACGATCCAGTGGCGTGGCAAGGGAACGGGGTTCGGATATAGTGATTAAAGCGATACTTCCGCTGGTCGTTATCGAGCCGCGAAGATAGCATCGCGGTTCTCGATCACTGTCAGACGCGAACCCCTGACACCATACCAGAAAACCCCCATACCGATGTATGCGCTACTGTTATGGGAATCAAATTCCAACCTCGTTACCTTTCTTCTTCCATTCTTCGTTTTTCTATTATTTTTATATATTATTATATTTTCTATTATTATTATATAAATTGTTTAATTCGATTATTATATATACGGTTTCGTAATTGATAAAATTAAATAGAATATTAAATAAATTAAATATATTGGAAATACTATATATATATATATATATATATAGTAATATGGTTCGAAATATGTATATATAACAAATATGTAACAAATATGCATATATAAGTATTAACGGGGATACGAATTTTTATCGTTGTCCTTGCTTCATCCTTGTTTGTTTACGATGCTTTTAGAGGCGACTCTCTATATCGATAAACTCGCACGATTCCGCGATCGTACGAGCAATTAAACGGCTTGTCGAGGCCTCGATCACCACCTCTGTTGATGAGAATCGCACTCGAGACTCGAATATTTTACTTTCCGCTGTTTTAATCCTCGAGTTAAATTAATCGTAACGATGTTTTTCGATCGAGTAATAAAATGTAAATATTTCCTTTCCCTCCCTATATCCCCGCCTCTCGTATCTCTATTATCGTTATTATATTATACAAGTGTACCGTAAAATCTTTCCATCTTTCCATCGTAATTATTTTCATCTCGATTAAAACGAGACTATGACCCAGAAAACAAGGAAACTAATCTCTCCACCGTTAATCTATTTATCGTTGCGCAATACGTATCCGAAGTTGCGCAACTTCGTTTCAGGAGAGGGGGAAGCGGTACTGGTGGTGGTGGTAAAACGCGAAGCGAGTAACGAGGGAAAGGAGTGGGGAGAAGGAGATAAAGAAAAAAGGTAGGAGAGATGCTCGGCCGCTGGCCGTGTGTACGTGCAACGTTCAACAGTTCGAACGTCGAAGTTTATGGCGCGGTGCGGTAGGATGGGGGAGGGGAGGGTGGGCGGGTGTCGAGCCTCATTAGACAGCGCGCGGGACTCCCGTGCATCGCGAGGGGTTGCCGCTTGGGACTGGGATGGAAGTGCGTACGACCAACCGGAAACTAACGACGTTACCCCATCGGCCTTCCTTTTACGCCCGCGTTTTCGATCCTTGCGCGGTCTCGATCGATGCGCAAGGGTTAAACAAAGCGATATCAATTCAACGATTAATTTCAGATTAATCTTAACCCTGATCGGGAATTATTTTCGCGCGATTTCTCAAGTATTAACGGGGATACGAATTTTTATCGTTGTCCTTGTTTCATTTGCACTCGAATCGGTGACTGTCACGTGGTACGATGCGATAACTCTCTTAGAGGCGACTCTCGGTCACCATTTCGATTCGAACGGAGACGATATTTATTTCGATCGATTTTTTTTTAGAATATCGGATAGGTAGATTTTCTTATCTCAAAATAGATCGCGATCGCGAATCGGATCCGCATTTTGACAGCAATGGAAATATTATTTTCAGTTTTCGAAGCAATGGAAATATTATTTTCAGTTTCGAAGTTTTCGAGTTTTGTAAGCATGAAATACGATAATGAAATTAGTTCGAAGATGAATTTGATTTTTCGTTATTAAATAACGAAAATATTTCTATTTATTAAGAAATTGATAGAGAAAAGAAAAATAGCAATGAAAATAGAGATGTAGTATAAGAAGATGAAAAATAAGGACAATAATCAGTGAATGAGAGCACGTTAACAAGAATTAAGAAGGATTATAACGTTCGCTTCATTTTATCGTGAAACTTGCATATAAAGATACAAAATAATATTAAAATATAAAAGTTTTATACGTGTGAAAATTATTTCGAAAAATTGTTTCGAGAAATTTACCGAAATTTACACGATGAAAAGTACTCGTTTTGTAAACGTACAAAGCGAAATATTCGATTCGATTTTGTTTTTCTTTGTTTTTTTTTTTTTTTTTTTTTACTTCGAAAGTACGTAATTCTCTATTTCAAACTAGCAACAAGATTCTATAATTTATGCGTTGAAATTGGGAATAGGCGGGGTGGCTAATAGGCGAAGTTCATTTGCCGTGTATTAACAGTGTTTATACTCGCGGGGACAACGCGATCCTCGTTAATCACGACAAATTCACCATGATTAATTACGCTTTTCGCTCGATTTACCATTCCGTGATCGCGAACCGAGAACCGCCCTCTCTTTGTCGCTCCACCTCTTCTTTTCTCTCCTTCGCTTCCCCCCACTCTTCTCCCTCCTCCCTCGTTTCCCTCCTCCCTCGTTTCCCTCCTCTTTTGTCAACGTATAATCGAGAGGAACGCAGCGTTTTGCCGCGAGAACGAGATCAAACCCTCGGAACACTCGCCTTCCGTTTCTTCTTCGCCTCCGTTTTGTGTGTCGAAAGAGTACGCAAGATACTCTCGAAATAAAACTCGAACGCAGCGAGTTGTCGAGTCTCTTTGATGATGATTTTATCATTTGGATCTCACCCTCGAATTCTCATCTCTCTTTGAGATCGTAACGTAACCCCCTCCCTCTGAATAACTTATTCGTATTTATCGTGTTTGATGTGAAAAAGAAAAAAAGAAAAAAAAAATTGACCGATAAAAATATCGAAGCGAAATATCGAATTTTTCGTTGCGAAAGAATATGAGGAGAACAAGGGGGATTCTTAAAAGAGACGAGAAACTTCGTCCCTTCGGCCGGATGTGTCATTTGGTACCTGGGTCACGTAGCTCTTCGTATTGACAGGCCAACCAACCAACCAACCAACCAACCAACCAGCCAGCCAAGCACCCTCTACCCTTCTCCCGCCCTCGCTTCGAATCTTGTTTCAGACTTTATCCAGATTCAGGGGAACAATCGCTTCTTTTCCTCTTCCGTATAATAAAACCAAAATGATTATTCTTAATTCATTTGATCACGATCTGTTTAGCAGAAAATTAAAATTAAAAAATTAGCTCGATTCTTATTAAAATTATTACATAAATCGTAATATTTTTCTCTTATTTTCAGAGTATTTAGCGTAGCAGATATGATACAGCGATGAGCCTGCAGGCACAGGCTCAAGCACAGCGCTCTGCGAGGTACTCCCCTCAAGAGACCATCAAGGTAAGAGAAAATTATATTTACATTCACTTTTCTTTCAATGGTAGGTAATATTTCTTTTACGAGCAGAAGAAGATACCTTATCCAACGAGGAATCGTGGATATTAATATTTTTCGTTAGAACATCTGTATATTCTTCTTTTGAAAATTCATCGTTCTTTTTTCGAGTTCTCGTATGGAGAATTGGGAACATGCGAAGTAACGCCATCTTACGGCGAATCGCTATTCGTATTCCACGACGAGTTTTAACGTAATTAACGCGGCCGCTCCGATATCGTCACACGCGATTCACTTCTCTCCCTCTTCATCATCGGGGTTAATCCTATACGTGTTCGAGTGTACGCGACCTTGTATTACTTCCTGCCTGCTCTCAACTCGAGGGAGAATCCAGAGAGAAAAGTGTACGCGTTTCCGTAGCTTCGAATAAATTTCGCTTCGAAGAAACGATCATCGAAAAGTTAGGATTTTAAGCAAAATTGCGTGAACCGTATCGTGATGATATATATATATATATATTTTCGATAGAACGAATATCGAGGAAAGAAACGAAATATCGAAGAAAGAATTTAATTCGTTCGATTCGTTCCTCTTTTTCCTCGTATTAACTTGACTCTCATCTCTCTTTTCGTTCAAATGATTAATAACTCCCTATCAACTCTTTAATTTCGACTCGTAAAAGTTTTTTTCTACGATATTTTATTATACTTTTTCCCTCCCACGCGCCAAAATATCCATAAACAGTAGTCCAGTTTCATTACACTCGTAAACTCGATTAGTCAGCTAATTACGATCTTGGCGCGATATAATCGCGTACTATTTATCCGGCACCGTGTCTGGTTATTAATTAAACTTGCAAATCGACTAATCGGATAATCGATAATCTCTAATTACACACACGACCGTTGGAATTAATATCAAATCCCGTTATGCAATTGAAATCGAAAAATCTTTATGAAAAATCTTCGCTGTCGCGTGTTGGGTTTATCGCTTTTCAGCCGCGCCATTCGAGAAAGAGAGACAGAGAGAGAATACAAATTCCCGACAAATTTTTTAATTATTTCAGTTGAATATATCAAATTGAATGCAATAAAATGAGTATAGTCGATGTAATGAAAATGATAATTCCTTAATCAGATTCATTATAATAAAGTTATTTTTATTAAATATGATGTTATTGCTAAAGTGATATTTTACGATTCTTCTTTGTGTGTATATAATTATAAATTATCAAATAAAAAATAAAAATACAATGTATCTTTTAGAAACGTATAGATACTGTTGTTGTTTAATAATTAAGAGAGGAAATATCACGTTCATTTTATTGATATTCGAGATGTATTAAAACATATTTAATCCCGACCATTAGTATCAATAGTTGGTAAACAGCAATAAAGTATTATATTTATCCGCGTACCGAGCATAATTTTCCACGCGAATGCGCTCCCGGCTCGCCGTTTTTTCCTAACGACTGTCTTAATTAATATTACCGACCCAGGTTCGCTGTCCGTGTACGCGATCGCGACCTTGTCGCTCCCCCTTGCTCCTCGTTCCGCGGATAATTTTCCGCGCCAATGCTTCAACTTTGCCCCCGCTCCTCCGCACCACCCGTCCGCCCCACTTTTTTTTTCTCCGCCTTCCGTGGCTCCCTCGACACGTCAAGAGGGACTTGGCACGGATGACAAAATGCTGAAATTATCGCCCCTCCAATGATATTTTGCTCGTGTTTTTTGCTCCATCCTTGGAGGACCGTTGGAAACCGTTAGAACCATTTCATTCGTCGAACATCGCGCTCGTATTTGAAATGTATACGACTGTTTGCTCTCGCTTCTCGCGTTGACTCGTTTATTATCCCTCGACAAGCGAGCGATTTCTACTTACGCGAACGAACGAAAGTTTAACTTTTGTTCGGTTTAAGTTCGAGCTTATCTTTCCTTCGCTCTGTTTCTCTCCAGAAGGGAAAGAGTAGCGTCGTGGTTAATTCGTTTTAGTGGAGCGAAAGAGGGCCGAGATTTCTTCGCTCCCCCTTCTCTTCTCGGACGAGACAAACTGTTTCGAACGACAAAGACAAAGAGATTTTGGGTGTCGAGGGTCGGCCACGCCCCGGCCACGAGGACCAGATGATATACCATTTCGCGACCCTCTTGGTACCTGGCAAAATCCCTCGATACCTCCGTTGCGCGGATAATTAAAGATACAACGTTTACCACCGACCTCGCGCCACGCCAAACAGAACCCATTCTCTTGGATCGCTTCAACAACACGGAGTGGGGAGGGGGTTGAGAAAGCGGTAAATTAGCTTACGCGCGCAGAATCTTACCGCCAAACTCGTGCCATTTCCCGTCCAATCAATTTTCACTGCCTTGCTCGATTATTTATTTTGTTAAATTTATCGAAAAACATACGCATGATTTTGTTTCAACTCGATTAAAACGATACTTACTTATCTCCTCGATTCATCCACGTTCACAGTTTAGAGTTTCAATTCGATCCATTCTATCCGAGTTGAAGAAGAAAATTAGTTATTTTGCTAAGTTTATCGATTCAGAGTTTCAATTCGGTTAAAATGAATTGAATAAGAAAGTTGGTTGCTTTATTAAATTCACCGAAAAATGTATACACACGATTCAGAGTTTTAACTCGATTAAAATGATACTTACCTATCTCCTCAATCCATCCATCTATCCGAGTTGAAGAAAAACGTACACACACGTTCCAGATTCGTTCAGAGAGTTTCAAGAGAGTTTCCAAACGATATTTACCTACCTGCTCGATCCGTCCATCCGAGTTGAAGAAGAAAGTTGGTTCGATCGCGGAATACGAAGAAGATCTCGGGTGCGGGAGAAGGTAAAAGTTATCGCGGAAGGGAGAGGAAAGAACGTAGGGTAGAAAGTGAAGTCGCTCCGTGTGAATGCCCTAGCGAGCATGGTTTGCTTGGTCAGGCATCGATTAACCATTCGAGGATCGACCTAGCCGTCGTTCCGGAATCGCTTCGATATCTCCATCAATGCTTCTCTCTCCCTCTTCCTCCCTGCCTTTCTCTCTCTCTTTCTCTCTCTCTCTCTCTCTCTCTCTCTCTTTATCTCGATACTCTCGACGCGCGTTTCTCCCACAACATATTGAGCACACGCGGAACAGGAGGGTGGTTATCGTTGTATCGTCGATATATCGCGGAATATCGAGATACGGTCGTGTGAAATTTCAAGTTGCGAGTTTCTACTTTTGTTTGTTCGTTCATGTGCGATGAATGCATTCGATAAATTGAATAAAATTCGTGAAAAAAATAGAATTAAGTTCAAGTAGAAGTCTAGAGAGGATAAATTTAAAGACGAAAAAAATTAATGGAAAAAATAACGTGGAAAAAGATTCGAATATACAGGGTGTCCCCAGGATGAAACGATGATATAAATTGCATCAGTGTGAATTCTATATAAGTGAAAATAAGAAAAGAATGTTATGTAGGTTTAAAGAATGTTTGATAAAAAAATATATATAATAAAAATACCTAAACTTAAACCTAAAATAATGAATTCGAATTGGTTCACGAATTTTGAAAAATGGAAAGAGGGAGACACATTGCTTGGGTTCTTTCCCCCGTCGAGATTTTTATATGTAAGGAATGATTGTGAAAGCGATTGCGTAATCGTTCAAACGTCAATTCGCGGCAAGAAGTAGCAGAAAGGATTAATAGTGCGTTCACCCTTTTGCGCTCTACGACTTTTTCAGTCGAGAAAAGTAGCAGCAACTCGAGCTGATTTTATATGACATACGTGTGATGAGTGTGTTACTTAACATAAAATGATTTTATACGCTTCGTAATAAAGAAATAAAATATCTAAGGAACCTATTCAGAAATCGATACTGCGCACTTATTGATCGGAGATAACTGGGAATCTAGCATAAATCGCTCGCCACTCGAGTCACATTTCTGAATTTTTAGCACGAAGTAATTACTTATTTTAAGCTTAATTTACAAAAAAAAAAAAAACTTATCCATAATTTATAACGATTTAAATTAGAATTAGAATGTTTGGAGATGTCATATTGATTGTAAAATTTAAACGCTTCTTGATAAATTTACAGAATATTTTCCAATTATCGAAATTATCGATCGATCAAATTATCGATTCTCTACCTGTATTTCGTAAACAACGTTTTAGAAAGAAGATTTAAAATTTTTATCATATATATATATTACAAATCGTAGCAATTATTTTTTAAAAATTCAAAAACGAATTTTCTCCATTTGATACACACTTGCTTGATCCACTGTGCTCCTCAAACACTCGTTCTCCTCCTCAGATGTCAGGCTTGCATCTCAACGTCTAACTTTGACCACTTTGAAATTTTGGCACAAACTTCTCGATAGGCGATAAAGCTTGTGACGCAAAACATAACCTTTTCTTAATTTTATACTCGTAAAATTGCGTTTTCCTATCTGAGGACACCTGTGTGTGTGTGTGTGTGTGTGTGTGTGTGTGTGTGTGTGTGTGTGTGTGTG